TGTCACTGGGCACCACTGAGAAGAGTCTGGCACCATCCTGCAATGATGGGATTCCCTCTCAGTCTGCTCTTCTCTGGACTAAACAGACCCAGCTCCTACAATCTCTCCTCATCAGAGAGAGGCTTCTGAGCATCCCTGTGGCCCTTGATCACACTAGCAGGAGGCCCAGCTGTTTGTTTTGGGGTTCCTTACAACTCAAGCTTGCTTACAGCAGGGTCCCAACTTATAAGACAGTGGCATGTGTTCCCTTGGGCTGGCGAGTTTGTCAGTCCTCAGCTGCCAGTTAAGAACAGCGGAACTGGGGTTATAAAACAACTCAGGTCTGGGTTTTAATTTGCTTTTTATTCCCAACCTTTTTATACTCAGAAGTGCAGTGCAGTGCTCCACTTACAGACTCTGATCTGGACTGGACCACACCAGCACAGGGCTGTTGTACTGCAGCCAGCAGCATCCTCAGTGCAGAGCCCTGTGCTCAGTCTCTCTTGGGTGCCTGCAGCCTCCCTGTGCCTCTTGCAGGGGTCGGGGTTGACCTGGAGCCGCCATGTGGAGAAGAAGTTGGACTTCTGCGATGTGACACTGCTGGAAGCCGCCCGGCGGGACCATGACCCTGGGCTGAGGCTGCTGGCCCTCTGCCACACCGTCATGGTGGAGGAGAAGGGCGGTGGGTTGGCTGTGGTGGATGATGTGCTCGGAGTGGCGTTAAGCTGTTCCAAGGCATTGAGGCCATGAAGGCTTCCTCCATCACTTAGAAAAGATCTGTGTGGGGAGCAGGAGGTGTGAAAGCCCTGTTGTCCTACCATCACAGGCGTACGTTTGGGTTTGTTGTAAAGCTTATTAGTGGGAACAGAATCTGGGATGATGCAGGCTGGCATCAGCTCACCATGCTTCTCTGGTCATGGTGGGACAAACTGGTCACAGTGCCTGCTGCATGATGAACCTGAAAACTGGGGTTGTGTTTTGCGGCATCTACAGGAGTTATATTTCCTGGGGCAATAAGCAGAAGAGATGAGACAAGTAGGACTGAGTTTCCCTAGGCTGGTGGCTTGGACTTGAGGGTGTCCATAGATAATATTGGTGCTGGGCAAGAACAGGATATTTCAGCTGTCCAAGAGTTGCTTGGCTGGGATTCTCCTTGTCTAATCCCAATTCCTCTTCTGCAGACCAGCTGGTTTACCAGGCAGCTTCACCAGACGAAGAAGCACTGGTGCTGGCAGCCAGGAACTTGGGGTATGTCTTTCTGGCCCGAACACGAGACACCATCACCATCAGTGAGCTGGGGAAGAAGAGGGTGTACGAAGTGCTGGCCATGCTGGACTTCAACAGCGATCGCAAGAGGATGTCTGTCTTAGGTGAGTGGGACAGGGTGTCTCAGGTGGCCCCTCTAGGAACACAGAGGGTCCTTTCCGTTTTCAGCCCTACAAGAGATGGCACTGGGGTGGCTGCGATTGATTTAGGATTGACAATCCTAAGGATTGTCCTGGTCATCCCTGTGGTTTTGCTTGCCCTCATGCCTTGGTGCAGGTAACCAAGAAGGGCTTAAGCAGCCAAGAAACAGTGAGTAAAGGGCTTAGAGGAGGTGTGTGAGGAACTGACAGCCCTTGAGGCCTGATCCTGCCTTATGATGGTGTAGATCTGGGGAAATTCCTGTGCTTCCTACAACCACAGGTGGAGAAGCACCAGTGTCCGCTGTGATGCCTTCTGCAGCAGCGCTGTGGCATGGGGACAGCGGTGGGTGGGAGTCCTCTCTCTGGGTAGCTAAGCTGTCATTCCCCTCCCTCCCAGTGCGAGACCCCGAGGGCACAATCCGTCTCTACACCAAGGGGGCTGACACAGTCATCCTGGAGAGACTGCAGAGGCGAGGGCCCAATGAGACCTTCACTGAGAGGGCACTGGATGTGAGTCCCACGCCAGCCTGGCGTGGAAAGGGCTGGTCTCCCTGGTGCTGGCTTTGGGCTGGGCATCCTGGAGGCCCTTGCTGCTCCTTCTCCCTTTCACTCCAGGATGTTGGTCCTCCTTTCTTTCTTCTTCTCCAAGAGCCTCACATGGGCATATGGGACAGCGGCTTAGAGGGCATCAAATCCACTTTCATTGTTCTGTGTGGTCATTGCAAGGATGCTTATGGGGATGCTGTAGGATGGGATTGAGACAGAGCCCAGAGGGAGGCCCTCAGATCCTCTGGCTCTGCCCATGGGAGCATCACAGCTGGGTGGCATGATACCCTGGTCCGCTGGTTGAGGGAAGGGAGACCTGATGTCTCATCTCTGCAGCGTTTTGCAGAGGAGACACTGCGGACTTTATGCCTGGCCAGTAAGGAGGTGAGCGAGGTCGAGTACAGTGACTGGAGCAGGAGGCACCGTGAGGCCAGCATCCTGCTGCAGGGTCGCGCACAGGAGCTGGACAAGCTGTACGAGGAGATGGAGCAGAACCTGCAGGTGGGATGAGGCTGGTGTTTATGAGGAACTGGCTGTGCTGGTCCCACAGAGGGCAGGAGCATGGGGTTCAGCTCTCTGGAATGAGGGGGTGAAGTGTCCAACCAACAGCCATCCCCTGGGAGGGAGCTCTTCCCCTGCTGTGGAGTGACTTTGTGACATGCCAGTAGGCACCGGGTTAAGTATCTGTCGGGTCATGTCCACCCATGGGCACGGACTCCTGGTTGGATCCAGGAGTAATTCCCACCTCTGTATCTTCTCCTGCCCTGTGTCATGACACCGACTCACCCTCATTCCAGCTGCTTGGGGCCACAGCCATTGAGGACAAGTTGCAAGATGGAGTCCCTGAAACCATCCAGCTGCTGAAACTGGGCAACATTAAAGTGTGGGTGCTGACAGGAGACAAACAAGGTCAGTGGAAGCAACCAACACATTTCAGCTTCTCCCCTAACCAGGACCAGAGACGAGACCCTGGGACTGGGCAGCAACCAGGTCCTGCTGTTCCCTTTAATAGACAGCAGCAGCATGTCCCACAGATTGTGTCACCCATGGGGAAACTGAGGCAGGGGAAGCACCTGCAATGGCACAGAGCTGGAGCAGAGCCCCCAGCGGCTGCTGCCCCCCAAGGGCTCTTGGACCCCAGGGCTGGGGGCTGCCCTGGGGTGCAGGGGGCAGCACCACTGGCCGCTGACCCCTGCGTGTTGCAGAGACTGCCATGAACATTGGCTACGCGTGCAAGCTGCTCACGGACGACATGGAGATCCTGGAGGAGAAGGAGATCAGGTGAGGAACTGTGACCTCCTGGCTCAGGATGTTGTCCCCACTGAAGACCCCTGAGAGCAGAGGACTGGGCAGAGCTCAGATCTGCCAGAGATGCTTCTCCTTCCCTGTTGCAGCCTGGGTGTCCCTAACACTTTTCCAGGCTTCCCCATCTGTTTCTGCTCCTACAGTGTTGTCCTCCTTGGCAGGCTTTGACCAAGCTGCCTCTCCAGCCTCTAAATCACAGGGACAGAGGCTGATTTCTGATAGCAGTGAGCCCTTGGGGCCACCTCTCTGCCCCGTTGTTCTCACTACCAGGAACATCTTCCTGGAGCTGGCTTTCTGGTGGCAAAAGCCAACTGTGGGTCTCAGTCCTCAGTTCAGCTCCAACCATCCCTTCCTCACGCAGTGAGATCCTTGGGGCTCACTGGGTTAGCAACAACAACTCCAGCGGCAGTGGGGAAGCCCAGTCCAGCAGCTGCCTCTCCCAGCAGTGCCCCAGTGCTTCACACCACAAGAAGAGAGCCATCATCATCAGCGGGGACTTCCTGGTAAGGTGGCACTTGGATGCTCTTCTCTGCTCTGTCCAACCTGTGCTGTTTCTGCCCTGGTGCTATTCAGGTGCTGGGTGGCACCAGGTTGTGATGGGCCTCCTGTCCAAAGGGTAGGAAAAGCCGTTTTGGGCTGGGGAATGAAGAGTGCAGAGGGGGACAACTTCGTACCAATCACTAGTGTTGGGGGGCTTCAGTCACACTGGCCCAACCAGCCTTCTGGAATGATGCAGGTTGGCATCAGCTCCCTCTGCTCTTCTGGCACAAACTGGTCTCCTGGTCACAGTGCCTGATGTGTGATGAACCTGAAGAAAACTGGGGGTCACTTTTTTGTGACATCTACAAGATTTAAGAGGATCACTGAAGAGCTGGGGAGTCTCGTGCTATGAAGGCTGTGGATGAGGTCCCAACAACGTGTGTTCTTCTCTAAGGACAAAATCCTCCACACGGGAGAGGTGCTGAAGGAGAAGCGGCGGCTGTGGCGGCGGCTGGCTTTCTGCAGGGCTGTGGGCTCAGAGCAACAGGGCAGTCTGGTGGAGAAGGCCTTTGTGGACTTGGCCACCAGCTGCCAGGCGGTGATCTGCTGCAGGGTGACCCCCAAGCAGAAAGCTCTCATGGTGCAGCTGGTGAAGAAGCACAAGAAGGCCATCACTCTGGCCATCGGGGATGGGGCCAACGATGTCAACATGATCAAAAGTGAGGCTTGGGGCAGAGGGGAGTGTGGGGTTCAGGTGGTGCATCCTGCTGGTGGGGAGTGGTGGTGCCCTGTCTGCCATCTCCATCACCTCATCACGTCCTTTGAGGGGAGGAGCTGGGAGAGGAACCCCCTTGATGCTGTGCTAGGAGGGTGGGAGAGGCACAGACCAGCCTGGGACAAGAGTGGGTTGGGCCACTTGTTTGGATGAACCTTGAATGAAACTTCCAGCCCCCATCTGTGCAGCTGGCAGAGATATCCCTGCCCTTCTCCAGCAGCCCTGACATGGGGCTGAGCTCTTCACTCACCCAACCATGCCTGGCACATCGCTCCTGCAGGATGCGATAGAGGGGGCTTCTTCCCTTTGCCCATCACTCCTGGATTCACCCCCTGCCCATCAGCCTGGGGGAAATCAAGCACCCAACTCCCCAAAAACCTCCTCGCCTGCATCTCACCCCCTCCTGTCCTCTGCAGCCGCTGACATCGGGGTGGGCATCAGTGGGCTGGAGGGCGCACAAGCCGTGCAGTGCAGCGACTATGCCCTGGCCCAGTTCTCCTACCTCCAGCGCCTCCTGCTCGTCCACGGCCGCTGGGCTTACCTTCGCATCTGCAAGTTCCTCCGCTGCTTCTTCTACAAGACCTTTGCTGGCCTCATGGCCCAGGTCTGGTTCGCTTTCCACAGTGGATTCACAGCTCAGGTGAGGAATGCAGCCGTTAGCAGGGGTTGCATCCATCCCATGGAGGGCTGCACATTGGTGCTTCAGCCCCTCTGCAGATGATGTGGGGCTGATGCAGGACTTGGGGCAAGTCCATTGGGATTTCCCCGGAGTTTGGAAGTGAGTCTCCTGGATTCCCCCCTGGTGTCTGGGCATCTTTTGTGAGTCCTTTCAAAGCACCACTGAGATCACAGCTGCTTTCTTTTCCCTTCTAGTCTCTGTACGAGGGCTGGTTCCTTGCACTCTACAACATTTTCTACACTGCCTACCCTGTGCTGTCCATGGGCCTTCTGGAGCAGGTATGGGTTCAATGGGCTGCATCCAGCTCCTGTGCCTGGAGGCTGCATCCTCAGTGGGTGTGAATCAGCCCGGCAGCTGTTCCACCCCGTTTGCATGGCTCTTTGTGCTGGGACACGGTACCAAGCAGCTCAGTGGGCATTTGGAGCTTACCAGTGGTCCTCTGCTCCCCATCACCCCAGAGCAAACGCATGTAGGGACCCACAGCAGCATTCCTGAAGAGGGTGTTGTGTGGGGTGAGCCCAATCCTGCTTCCCACTGTGATGGGTAGGGTGATGCTTGGTGCCTTCTCGGCAGGACGTGAGTGCCAAGAAGAGCCTGGAGTTTCCTGAGCTCTATGTGGTTGGGCAGCAGGATGAGCTCTTCAACTACCGTGTTTTTGGCGTCACCCTCCTGCACGGGGTCAGCACCTCACTCACCAGCTTCTACATCGCACTCTGGGCCTTCGAGGACCATGTTGGCAGCAAGGCTGTTGGTGACTACGAGTCCTTTGCTGTCACGGTGGGCACATCAGCGCTGCTGTCGGTCCTCATGGAGGTGAGCACCCATCTGGCCCCCTGGCAGATGTTTAGAAACTGGGCTCTCTGACACCATCCCCAGCAGCTTTGCGCTGGGGAATGGTCTCCCTTGGGGCTGAGGAGGAATTTGGGACAAGTGGCTGAATGGAAGAGGATCCCTATTGGACACTGTGTGCTCTGCCCTTGTCACTACAGATCATCCTGGACACTAAGTTCTGGACAGTGTTGTCCTTCATGATGGTCACTGCCAGCCTGCTGCTCTTCTGCCTCTTCTCCTTCCTGACCCAAAGCATCGATGCCTTCAGGATAGCCCCTGCCATCTTCTCCTTCCCAGGTGAGATGCCCCAGGGATCCCCATGGTTCTTCTCTTCTCAGCTGAGGGAGCCCAGCCTGGGCTTCGTGCTACAAGCTGTTTCCCACCTGGTAGATCATCTCTTCATTGCTACTTCTTGATCTTGCTGTCTTGATTTTTGACTCCAGTTTAGGTGCCACCTCCTCTTTAGACCATTTGACACTTTCATGGGTGGGGGCTTGTCCCCCACCAGTTGTTCCCTCTGTGCTCTCCACCTTCCCTACTTAAGCATCACCCACCAGCTTCTTGCACTGACAGATGCCAGCCGGAATGCCCTGACCGACCCCTACATCTTGCTTGTGGTCCTGCTGTCCCTCGTGGTGAACACTATCCCCTCACTGACCATCCACCTGTACCACACCATGACAGGCAAAACCACCATCCAGCAGGTGAGGACTGGTGGGGATGGCATGGGGAGGGCTCTGGGGCTGGCCAGGGCACTGCTGGTGATGGGAAAGATGAAGTTCTGCAGGGAAGCCACTGTGGTGGTGGGACGTGTCACCTCTCCTTGGTGGCAGCACTCACCCAGTGGTGGCTTCTCATGACACTGGTGCCCAAGTCTGGGACTGGCTTCCAGAACTCTGTGGAGCTGCGGGTTAGGAGGCACTGGGGTCTGGAGCAGGTTTTGGTACCACCCCCAGCCTTCATAGAGCTCATCCCCGTCTGGGTTATGGGTTATACTCTGCTGGTGGTACAGAAAGGTCCCAGATAAGAGTAGGGGTTGAGATTGTGCTCAGAGCTCCAGGAGCTTTGAAGACCCCAGGAGTGTTCCTATGGTACACATCCCATCATGGCAACTCAGCTCATGGTGGAGCTGGGAGCCAAACCATGTCTTGGTGGAGGGTGTCCTTGCATGTCCTGCCTTGGGATGAGGGTTTGCCTGGAAGGTGGCCACAGTCCTGATCTCCTCATCTCCTTGCAGAAGATCCGTTTAAAGGCCAACAGGAGCTTTGAAGACCCCAGGAGTGTTCCTATGGTACACATCCCATCATGGCAACTCAGCTCATGGTGGAGCTGGGAGCCAAACCATGTCTTGGTGGAGGGTGTCCTTGCATGTCCTGCCTTGGGATGAGGGTTTGCCTGGAAGGTGGCCACAGTCCTGATCTCCTCATCTCCTTGCAGAAGATCCGTTTAAAGGCCAAGCGGGTGCCGGAGCCCTC